TCAACATCAGCTCAATTTTATCCATCTTCAGTTGATCATCTAGCTTCATCAACATCAGCTCAATTTTATCCATCTTCAGTTGATCATCTAGCTTCATCAACATCAGCTCAATTTTATCCATCTTCAGTTGATCATCTAGCTTCATCAACATCAGCTCAATTTTATCCATCTTCAGTTGATCATCTAGCTTCATCAACATCAGCTCAATTTTATCCATCTTCAGTTGATCATCTAGCTTCATCAACATCAGCTCAATTTTATCCATCTTCAGTTGATCATCTAGCTTCATCAACATCAGCTCAATTTTATCCATCTTCAGTTGATCATCTAGCTTCATCAACATCAGCTCAATTTTATCCATCTTCAGTTGATCATCTAGCTTCATCAACATCAGCTCAATTTTATCCATCTTCAGTTGATCATCTAGCTTCATCAACATCAGCTCAATTTTATCCATCTTCAGTTGATCATCTAGCTTCATCAACATCAGCTCAATTTTATCCATCTTCAGTTGATCATCTAGCTTCATCAACATCAGCTCAATTTTATCCATCTTCAGTTGATCATCTAGCTTCATCAACATCAGCTCAATTTTATCCATCTTCAGTTGATCATCTAGCTTCATCAACATCAGCTCAATTTTATCCATCTTCAGTTGATCATCTAGCTTCATCAACATCAGCTCAATTTTATCCATCTTCAGTTGATCATCTAGCTTCATCAACATCAGCTCAATTTTATCCATCTTCAGTTGATCATCTAGCTTCATCAACATCAGCTCAATTTTATCCATCTTCAGTTGATCATCTAGCTTCATCAACATCAGCTCAATTTTATCCATCTTCAGTTGATCATCTAGCTTCATCAACATCAGCTCAATTTTATCCATCTTCAGTTGATCATCTAGCTTCATCAACATCAGCTCAATTTTATCCATCTTCAGTTGATCATCTAGCTTCATCAACATCAGCTCAATTTTATCCATCTTCAGTTGATCATCTAGCTTCATCAACATCAGCTCAATTTTATCCATCTTCAGTTGATCATCTAGCTTCATCAACATCAGCTCAATTTTATCCATCTTCAGTTGATCATCTAGCTTCATCAACATCAGCTCAATTTTATCCATCTTCAGTTGATCATCTAGCTTCATCAACATCAGCTCAATTTTATCCATCTTCAGTTGATCATCTAGCTTCATCAACATCAGCTCAATTTTATCCATCTTCAGTTGATCATCTAGCTTCATCAACATCAGCTCAATTTTATCCATCTTCAGTTGATCATCTAGCTTCATCAACATCAGCTCAATTTTATCCATCTTCAGTTGATCATCTAGCTTCATCAACATCAGCTCAATTTTATCCATCTTCAGTTGATCATCTAGCTTCATCAACATCAGCTCAATTTTATCCATCTTCAGTTGATCATCTAGCTTCATCAACATCAGCTCAATTTTATCCATCTTCAGTTGATCATCTAGCTTCATCAACATCAGCTCAATTTTATCCATCTTCAGTTGATCATCTAGCTTCATCAACATCAGCTCAATTTTATCCATCTTCAGTTGATCATCTAGCTTCATCAACATCAGCTCAATTTTATCCATCTTCAGTTGATCATCTAGCTTCATCAACATCAGCTCAATTTTATCCATCTTCAGTTGATCATCTAGCTTCATCAACATCAGCTCAATTTTATCCATCTTCAGTTGATCATCTAGCTTCATCAACATCAGCTCAATTTTATCCATCTTCAGTTGATCATCTAGCTTCATCAACATCAGCTCAATTTTATCCATCTTCAGTTGATCATCTAGCTTCATCAACATCAGCTCAATTTTATCCATCTTCAGTTGATCATCTAGCTTCATCAACATCAGCTCAATTTTATCCATCTTCAGTTGATCATCTAGCTTCATCAACATCAGCTCAATTTTATCCATCTTCAGTTGATCATCTAGCTTCATCAACATCAGCTCAATTTTATCCATCTTCAGTTGATCATCTAGCTTCATCAACATCAGCTCAATTTTATCCATCTTCAGTTGATCATCTAGCTTCATCAACATCAGCTCAATTTTATCCATCTTCAGTTGATCATCTAGCTTCATCAACATCAGCTCAATTTTATCCATCTTCAGTTGATCATCTAGCTTCATCAACATCAGCTCAATTTTATCCATCTTCAGTTGATCATCTAGCTTCATCAACATCAGCTCAATTTTATCCATCTTCAGTTGATCATCTAGCTTCATCAACATCAGCTCAATTTTATCCATCTTCAGTTGATCATCTAGCTTCATCAACATCAGCTCAATTTTATCCATCTTCAGTTGATCATCTAGCTTCATCAACATCAGCTCAATTTTATCCATCTTCAGTTGATCATCTAGCTTCATCAACATCAGCTCAATTTTATCCATCTTCAGTTGATCATCTAGCTTCATCAACATCAGCTCAATTTTATCCATCTTCAGTTGATCATCTAGCTTCATCAACATCAGCTCAATTTTATCCATCTTCAGTTGATCATCTAGCTTCATCAACATCAGCTCAATTTTATCCATCTTCAGTTGATCATCTAGCTTCATCAACATCAGCTCAATTTTATCCATCTTCAGTTGATCATCTAGCTTCATCAACATCAGCTCAATTTTATCCATCTTCAGTTGATCATCTAGCTTCATCAACATCAGCTCAATTTTATCCATCTTCAGTTGATCATCTAGCTTCATCAACATCAGCTCAATTTTATCCATCTTCAGTTGATCATCTAGCTTCATCAACATCAGCTCAATTTTATCCATCTTCAGTTGATCATCTAGCTTCATCAACATCAGCTCAATTTTATCCATCTTCAGTTGATCATCTAGCTTCATCAACATCAGCTCAATTTTATCCATCTTCAGTTGATCATCTAGCTTCATCAACATCAGCTCAATTTTATCCATCTTCAGTTGATCATCTAGCTTCATCAACATCAGCTCAATTTTATCCATCTTCAGTTGATCATCTAGCTTCATCAACATCAGCTCAATTTTATCCATCTTCAGTTGATCATCTAGCTTCATCAACATCAGCTCAATTTTATCCATCTTCAGTTGATCATCTAGCTTCATCAACATCAGCTCAATTTTATCCATCTTCAGTTGATCATCTAGCTTCATCAACATCAGCTCAATTTTATCCATCTTCAGTTGATCATCTAGCTTCATCAACATCAGCTCAATTTTATCCATCTTCAGTTGATCATCTAGCTTCATCAACATCAGCTCAATTTTATCCATCTTCAGTTGATCATCTAGCTTCATCAACATCAGCTCAATTTTATCCATCTTCAGTTGATCATCTAGCTTCATCAACATCAGCTCAATTTTATCCATCTTCAGTTGATCATCTAGCTTCATCAACATCAGCTCAATTTTATCCATCTTCAGTTGATCATCTAGCTTCATCAACATCAGCTCAATTTTATCCATCTTCAGTTGATCATCTAGCTTCATCAACATCAGCTCAATTTTATCCATCTTCAGTTGATCATCTAGCTTCATCAACATCAGCTCAATTTTATCCATCTTCAGTTGATCATCTAGCTTCATCAACATCAGCTCAATTTTATCCATCTTCAGTTGATCATCTAGCTTCATCAACATCAGCTCAATTTTATCCATCTTCAGTTGATCATCTAGCTTCATCAACATCAGCTCAATTTTATCCATCTTCAGTTGATCATCTAGCTTCATCAACATCAGCTCAATTTTATCCATCTTCAGTTGATCATCTAGCTTCATCAACATCAGCTCAATTTTATCCATCTTCAGTTGATCATCTAGCTTCATCAACATCAGCTCAATTTTATCCATCTTCAGTTGATCATCTAGCTTCATCAACATCAGCTCAATTTTATCCATCTTCAGTTGATCATCTAGCTTCATCAACATCAGCTCAATTTTATCCATCTTCAGTTGATCATCTAGCTTCATCAACATCAGCTCAATTTTATCCATCTTCAGTTGATCATCTAGCTTCATCAACATCAGCTCAATTTTATCCATCTTCAGTTGATCATCTAGCTTCATCAACATCAGCTCAATTTTATCCATCTTCAGTTGATCATCTAGCTTCATCAACATCAGCTCAATTTTATCCATCTTCAGTTGATCATCTAGCTTCATCAACATCAGCTCAATTTTATCCATCTTCAGTTGATCATCTAGCTTCATCAACATCAGCTCAATTTTATCCATCTTCAGTTGATCATCTAGCTTCATCAACATCAGCTCAATTTTATCCATCTTCAGTTGATCATCTAGCTTCATCAACATCAGCTCAATTTTATCCATCTTCAGTTGATCATCTAGCTTCATCAACATCAGCTCAATTTTATCCATCTTCAGTTGATCATCTAGCTTCATCAACATCAGCTCAATTTTATCCATCTTCAGTTGATCATCTAGCTTCATCAACATCAGCTCAATTTTATCCATCTTCAGTTGATCATCTAGCTTCATCAACATCAGCTCAATTTTATCCATCTTCAGTTGATCATCTAGCTTCATCAACATCTATATCAGCTGCACCTACTACATTTGATGCCTTTGCTATATCTTCTACTGAAGCCGAATACAGGGCTATGGCTCTTGCAAGTGCTGAAGTTGCTTGGCTTCACATGCTTCTTAAAGATATGCATATATGCCATTCTTCTGTTCCTGTGCTTTGGTGTGATAACTTGTCTCTCCTTCAATAACCGTCAGAAATTTGAACCAAAAAAATTGCATGTAAGATCCACATGGAAAATCTTGGCAATTCACAATCAACAGAAAGACCACTACACTGAAACACAATTGGAACTGTGGAGTTCAATTCATGAAATTGGAACTACGTAATTTACCCAACAATTAGCTTTATTCGATTTCATTATCCAGTAGTTGCTATAAAAAAAATATGTTAGTATGATATGAATTGTATTTTCATTTTACTTTTAAAGATAAGAGTACATTAAAGACTGACCTTTATAGTACCCTTTTTACTTCCCTTTTTCCTCAAATAAGCAAAATAGTTATTGCCAGCCAAGGATATCAAAGCAATGGAGGAATCAAGATCATTTTGGTTGTGAACTTTCTTTTCAACAAGTTGTTGAAAATAATTGATTTGGGTAGTCATGTTTGGTAATGGGATCATTGTGCTGAAAACACCTGTCCCCCATAAGCAAAATTCATCCCACTCTCCTTAAGTTATTAAGACCAGATTTTCTTTGTCCATACGGCACTGGAGATGTTGCATTGAAAAACTCAGCTGCATTACATGCATTCCAAACAACAAAGATGTTAATCAAATCAAAATGATATCAGAAAATAATTCAAAAATTATATATATTTAGAGAGAGAGACCTATATAATCGGTCAAGATGCAACCGACAGCGAATCGGCCAGTCGGTTTACCAGGATAACTTACTCCATATGGTTTTCTCCATGAGTCAGTAGAGAGTTTTGGAGCATTCCCAGTATCAACATAGGAGTCTCCAAATACAAAAAGTTTCACATTACTATCTGGTGGTTTGTATGATCCTCTAATGGCTTGAACTTCTACCATTAGCAGTTGAAAGAATATAGTAAAAGGCAGTAAGGACTTTCCCATTGTTTAGGTATCAATCAAAACAATAAAAGGAGATAAAAGGAAATAAATAGAGAATTTAGGTGTTAAAGAAAGAGGACTCAAATGTAGCTATACTATATAATGCAATTTTCTTCTTATTTCTTGTCTCCTTTTCTATACAAGATAATAGAAGCTAATGAAACCTACCAAAACTTTATTGTCTATAGAAGCTAATGAAACCTACCAAAACTTTTTTTATTTGATTTTTCAACATTAAAAGAAGGTAAATTGCATCAGTAGTCATATAGTTTTGGCAAAATTTCACATCCCTACAAATTTGATCTCACACTCTCAATTGGCAGAGAGAAGCTTGTAGGAGTGAATAAACAGCTTCCCAGCCATGCTGAGCAGGGTGTACAGTGTCCCAAAAGAATGTTGAATTAGGTTTATTGCATACACTGTACTTCTTCTCTCCTTTATCGCCAACGCTTCCACATGAGTTTCCATTCCCCATCCCCACACAACATGGCCTCAATGAGTTTCCTGCACCCACATATGTATGCATTAATATATGTATTTAGGCACAGATGCCAAATTCTAATTTCGAGAGTGTATGTATATAAATATTTTTTAAAAATGCATACTAAGGTTTATAATGTCACTAATATTCTTCAACCAAAAAAATTATTAATTGTATTTGAATTTTGAATTGTAGTGAAATTGAGGATGAAAAAAATAAATAAATAAATAAAAATTTCTACCTCCTCTTTTCCCTCCTTAAATCAATTCACAAACTCAAAATCCAATTGGAGTCTTAGGAGCCAGCACTATTAAGGAACCCAAGCCAAAGCCAAGACAAGCTGAGACCAGTCACAGAGCTAAGCCACATCAGTCACAAGAAATCAGCTCAGCTACAGCTCAAGAGCTCAGCACAATCTCCAGCTCAACTCAACTGAATTAGTTTGATCATCTAGCTTCATCAACATCTATATCAGCTGCACCTACTACATTTGATGCCTTTGCTATATCTTCTACTGAAGCCGAATACAGGGCTATGGCTCTTGCAAGTGCTGAAGTTGCTTGGCTTCACATGCTTCTTAAAGATATGCATATATGCCATTCTTCTGTTCAAATTGGCAACTTGGTATGTTTGTACACTAACAAGTAAGACCGGTATTAGTAGATACTATGATTAGAAGGAAAATTAATATAGCATGTTTACAAGAAACTAAACAGATAACAAAAATAGGAGACATAATAATGCTAATTAAACTTGTAATGGAGAAAGTATAATTAATGTAATTAGTGCCTATGCACCCCAAATAGATAGGAAGAATATATTAAAGAACATCAAGGCTTAAACATTCATTTAAAACATTCAACAATGATCTTCATGATCTTCACAAACGATCATAGTTTCATTTAATTATTGATAATTTTATATATCTCAAAGCATCTTTATAGAACATATTTTTGTAGTCTGTTAATAAATAAAAATTTATTAGTGACAACATTTAAATAGAGGTGTTCAAGTCTCGTTTGCTGCTGATATGGATTGTTGCTGAGATGGGTGGAGTCTATGGTAGCATGGGGCTGTTCTGTTTTGCTTTTGATAAGACCTACTATTGCTGCTCTGTCTTGGTGTTGTTTATTATTGCTGTTTGTTGATCTCAACTACTGTGTGGCTTGATGATTCTCAGTAATGGAGGATGAATGCTCTATCAGTATTGTTTAGTTGGTGTCCATTAACAGAAGCTATGTTCAGTTGTTTGCTTAGCACCATCAGTTGGCTATTTATGTGAGTGGCTGCTTATTTGTCTAATTGGATGATTTTGTGATATGGAGTTAATGGGGGATGCTACTGTTCTGAAGCTGTTCTGATTTTTGAGGTTGCTGATTAATTACTTGCATGGAGGGGGGTTATGTTCATTGGGAGTACTCTGGAGGGGGGTTCTTTGGCTGCTGCTGATATGTAGTGGCTAATTGTTCATTGTGTTTCTTTGTTTGTTGTTTTCTATAGTCTGTTGATTGGATCCTCACCAATCCCCTTTTTTATTGTTGTAAGTTTTTTCGTTTGTATTTTTTCTTCCATCAATAAAATTTATCTTTTGCTGATAAAAAAAAAAAAAAAAGTAACAAGTAATGTCAGCTACTTCATACATAAAAAAAATACAAAGAAAAATAATATATAGATCAAGAGTTCAAACACAAAACAAATGTTAATAAAAGTAATGTATGTTTTAAATTCACTTCACATGTGAATTCGACTTTAACAAAGTTAAACCACACACTACTTGATTTTGTTTTTTTTTTTTTTAATTTTTTTGATATACTATTTCAAGCAATATTTGTTTGGGTATACTACATAATTTCTCTCAAGTAGTTTTATGAAAAATCATCTAGGTCGATTGGTTGATCCTAAACATTTTTAGTTGTTTGATCACAACTTTGAAACACTTTTCATAAAATATTTTTATGATCGTTAACATTTTTGCAACACATAAATTATAATATAAGAATTTTATTAGATAGTGCCTTCAGGCACGGGCAATCTCTAGTATATATATATTATATCTGCATATCCCAAACCAAACCAAACCCGCCTCTCTCTCTCTCTCTCTCCCTCTCTCTCTCTCTCTTTACTTCACCACCGTTTCTTTCGCCGCTGCTGCCAGCACTAGAGCCACCGTCTCCCCCTTTAGCTCCTACCCCTTTCAATTCTGTTGCCACCAGAGATGTTGATCTAGCCTCCCAGATTGACTTCGCAAATCGACAGATCTATCACCCTCCATTTCTGCCGCCCTCCATCGCCGCCTTCCTTCAACTTTGCTTTATCGCCGACTACACCTCTCTCTCTCTCTCTCTCTCTCTCTCTCTTCAATTTCTAGGGTTTCTTTGATATTTCTTCTCTCTCACAACTGAAATCAATCGCCGATCCTGGCTGAACTTCAGTGAGTACGAACTTCGATGAGTTTCAGAGACAAACCTCTCTGATGACGAGTTGTACTCTGCTATGAAAAAAGCTCTCCGATCATTTTCATCACTCGAACAAAACATCCAGAGAAAATCCAATTCTCTGAAGCGCAAGATCGAAACCCTAGACTCTCAAACCAAGTAGTCCCTTCAATTCCTTGAGAAGCGCGAGTTCTCCATCAACGATTCCATCGATCCCGCGAGGTTTTGTATGTATGTATGTATGTATGAGTGGTGAAATCAACAGAACTAGCAGTACATACATACATAAATGTGTGATGAAATCATGTATGTATGCATGAGTGTGTGGTGAAATCAACGGAACTAGTTAGACATACATATATATGTATGCGTTTTTTTTTTTTTTTTGAAATAGAGGCTATAACTCAAGGTCATAAGGATTGCAAAATTCTTTAATTTTTTTTCTAGTAAACAACTTGTAGAGAGGTGTGCATACATATTTATTTGTTTGGTACCAAATCTTTAATGGTGAGCATGAAGATGTGAGTGGTAGCCTTCAATGGGCTATGTTGCATTCCAACTTCCGAATGAAAATGATAGAAAGCATAGAATTCATGTATTGATGATCATTAGAAGAACATATGCCATACTCTCTCTCTCTCTCTCTCTCATAGAGTCATAGTGCATCACTGTTTTTGAATATTAAAAGTTGTAATCCCACTTCAAGAGGCCATTAAACTTTTTGACTGCCCAAATTTGGAGCTATATACTTTCTAAAGTAGATAAATAAAAGCCATCACTATGTTGTGATTTATGACTATGCTTCTATTCCTGTTAGAGATTGTGATCAAGTTTGAAAAATTTTGGTTGTTTTTTTGTGCTTGAGATTTGAGATATGAAGAGAGCTAAGCTAAAAAGGCTACTTGGAGTAGAGTGAAGAAAGCCCAAGGGAAAGAAGACTATTTCTACACTCCTGTTTGTTTCGATTAAAAATCTTTTTCAAATAAAAAAAAAAAATCATATTTTTTGTTGTTTAGTTTGATATGATAAAATATGAAAATAAAAAATATATGTATAATTTTCATAATCAATGAAAAGTAAATTAATTTGGATGCAAAACATTTTTTATTTTTTAAAAATGAAAAGTTTTACTAACGCGCCATAACACAATCATAACCACCATTACTCTTACTGTCTTTATCGTACCACCACTACCACCATCATCGTTAGGCAAATAACTGCATAATAAAACTGTGAAACTCGAATTTAGATATCGCAATAGGAAATTAGAATTGTATAATGTTAAGGGAAAATAAGACTTGAATCCAAAGATCACAACACCCCATATACGAAGTACTCTTAGACTATGTTTAAATCATGAATTTAAACAAAAAATTAGAAAGAGAAAAAAAAAAAGATCAATACAATGTAAATAAAATATAACTATACTTCATTTACACTTCACTCATCTTTTTCTCTATCCCTTTCCAAATCCATGATCCAATCACAACATTAGTCTCCTTTTAGCTTTATCCTTGCTATTCAGTTAGTTACTAGCTTTCCATTTGACCCCCAAAAAATAAAGAAATAAATAAAAATATGTTACTATGGAAGAAGGTGAAGGGAATCTGAGCATCTGGACAACATGACCTACACAATCTTTTGGCATTGACAACACAATCTCAACAAACAATGGCTTCAACTCCGTCTCCTTTGTGAGATAAACATATCTCAACAACCATCTGTTCCTGGAACTCATCTTCTTGTTTTTTTACTCATATCACATCAAATATACAGGTAAGTTTTTGTGATTCGACCAAAAAATTGAATGATTTCTATAATACATTATTGCATACAATAAAAACAACAATACAAAACTACATAATACATTGTCTTTGCACTTGGAGTCGCTACCAATCTCTCTCTAAGAATAAAATAAAATAAAATAAAAAGGCAAGTTTATCCCCGCTGAAAATTATTGTTGCATTTACCATAAGAAAGATGGTAACAGTCGCATAATCAGGGGATAGTTAATCCACGTGATCAATTCAATGATTTTAAACCGACAACCTTCAAAAACCATATCCTTACAGAACAGAAGGAAGACCCTCCATCTTCCACCATTTGCGGATGTACAAAGGAAAATTGGAGTTTCTTACTCATTTTAACATAAGAAGTTCCAAACAAAATTAACCTAAGAGGGTTTTGCGGCAAAACCCTTGTATGCTTACACTTTGAACTTCCATACACTTGCTTGCAAGCTAAAAATGACAAAAGTAGTACTAACTCAAATCCTTACCATCTCTTGCCGTGTAATTCCAAGCACCAGCCCCAAACACCTCTTCAATCACACTGCATGTAGGTAAAAATTCAACTTCATTTTTTGGGCATGTCAAGTACCCAACATCCCATACTTCAGTATCATAATGCTCCAAAACAAAATCATCACCGTCACCACCACTTATACTACTAACGCTACCCAAATGGCACTTACTATTCTTAGGATTCACTTGAGTCACTTGTTCAGTCCCAGCATCATCAGACGTGCATGAGTCATCTTGCACATCATGATCTCCTTCTTCATCCCAGAGCTGAAGTGTAGGTTCAGGACCACCATTATCAAAAAACATTCTCGAGTATGTTTCAGGATCATCGATGACACCCTCATCACAACCAACACTTCCGTGATTATATGAATCATCATATCTATATGAATCATTTTCCAAAATCTCATTATGTCCATGGGCATCTTGAAATGCCAGGGATTCAACAGAATCATCATCTTCCTCTGCTGTCCCAACTTCATCATCATCTCCAGAATCATCACTCCCATGCCATTCATCATCATCACTGTCAATATTCATTGGGTCGCATCTATTCTGCACCGCCCGCCTATGCAGCATGAAGACATTAAAGTAATAGCTGGCAATGTCCTTTTTGGCTCGAGTTGGGAAAACCATTGATAGATGGTCCCAAAAGTTCTTACCCCATGATGCAGGATTTGAATATACCACATCATGAAACAGCTGTTGTTCCTCTGGACTCCATTTACAAGCCACTACCTCTCCCATGTCAGAGAACCCCAGCTCTGAAAATCTCTCATGTCCAATGGTTTTACAAAGTCTTTCTCTTGCTTCTTTGATGTGCTGTCTAACACATCTGACAGACCCAGAATCCTCACAGCAGCAATCAGTTCTACCACCTCCAACCTTGTCACTGTCGTTTGCAGATTGTCCAAATTCAGGCATTGGAATGACACAAATCCCAGCCAGCTTGTTCTCAACATCATTATGATCACTAAGATCCAATTCTAAAGCTTGACGAGCATTCTTAGCACCCCATTCTGGTAGATTGGCTTGAAAATCTGGTCCAATTGATACCAGTTTTCGAGGAGGACACTCCAAAAGAGAGGAACATTTCTTTTCAGGGTGACCTAATGTTCTTCTTGGCTGGTAAGAATTATAACACTCTGGAGAGAATGATAAATGAAACTGTGCCTGTGACTCATCATCTTCCTCACTTGTACTGCTGCTGGCCCAGGACGTGTTGGAAATGCAACCAGGAAAACTGGTTTCACTATCCTTTTCAGTGCATATTGGGAGTTCAGTAATGTTTCCATCCACATGCTTCTCATCCCTGTTTGAGAAACCACCCTCACCTTCACCTATCACACATTGGCCAGTCAGCTTAGTTAATAACTTCAAAACAAAATAAAAAATAAGAAGACCTTTTGCTAAGAATGCATTTGTGTCCAATCAATTTGTGGTGAACCAAAATCATGGAAACAAGTAAAGATCTCATTCGACACTACTACATTCACTCAAGCAATTAACAAATCGCCATCTCTCCAACAGTTCAAATCATGAAATATTTTTGATGTTGAAAGTCCAGAGACATGGAGAATAATTCAAAAGAATATGATAAATTAAGCATCCTGCATTTCCATTTAGGTGCATGCAAGCCTTGACAGACAACCTGTCAACTTGACAGATCACCTAAAACTTTATATCAATCACGGTAACTTACATGGTTGGAACAAATGAGTCTACAAGTGTCCCACAGTCATACGTTAAACATCATTCGATCAAGTAAAAATTTGGACAAGATATAGCCAAAGACTAATCAAGTGATTACATATAAACTCTTAACAACCTGAAATTTTAGGTTTCCATGCTGTATCTTTAGCACAAACAAATTCCAGCGCAGAAAGTTGGCAAATGTACTCCAGTTGTCTAGGGTGCTTAGAAGAAACCCCATATGTCTCATCACCAAAGGGCCGTTTTTGCACCATGTTTCACTGCAAGAAAAAGTTTGAAAGCAATTCTGAGAAAAACTCAAGGCTACAACAGATTTCCTTGTTTGGGAACAAGCTATTTTAATAACTTTTTGACTTTTTACGAAAAGATGTGCAGAAAAGTAGAGAGAGTGGTGTGACAATTTATAGTGACTTTCTAGCTAAAGTATATAGTTGATAAACGATAAGTTACAGTAACATGTATAATGAAGAAATCAGCAAACCAAATTTTGATGTACAAATATGTAGATGAAAACAGGACCACGAAAATGCACATAATTCCCTCAGAGAGAGAGAGAGAGAGTTGGATTCAGCAACCCAGACTGCTTTTATCTATTTCAATGAATGAAAAATTCCTCAGTTTGAAAATGGCGTGCACAAGCAATGAATGCATTCTTTGTTAAGCTAAGCATGAAACTCGTACAAATATATTGGACAAGGACAGTTGCTATTTCTGATACCATTCCATACTCTAAGCGCTAAAACAAAAGATAAAACATTGTGATCAACAGTACCATCACACTACACTCAGAAAATTATTTCAGAACGCATATACATACATACGTAAACTCAACTAGAGCACAAATTATGTGTCATCACGATGCACTCAGAAAATTATTTCAGAATTTATATATATACAAATATCAACTCAATTAGAACCCAAGATCTGAGAAGTAATTGATAGAATCATATAATCACAAAAAAGTTCAGATGCTTGGCACATCTTCCCACATATAGAGAGGCATATGATAAATGCAACATCGGAACTGAATGAGAAATGAACTTCATAGACCTGGATTTAAAATTCTGACTAAGTTTATTAGGCAGTGCAAGCTTTGAATAGATAGAGCATATTATTGACTTATTGATAATAAAATACCCATTTCCTAAACATACAACATGTACTATTTCCCCACATCCTAAGAGATTGTTAACAATCAACAACAAAGATGGCTTCGTCTGAATAAATATTTACCAACAAGAGATTAAACTCAAACTATTTATGCTTATCTTGATTAACTGTGTTGTAAAACACCACAGGCTTGGGTTGAAGTAAAAGCAGACACATATTTCAAATGAGCATAAATAGAAAAGTGAATCAAAGTCTAGTCTAAATTCAAAATACATGACATATAAAGCAGAACAACCACATTTAAATTATCATGAATACACGTGACTATACAAAGCTACTTCACAGCCCATAAGAAAAATCTAGTGAATGTTGACTATAAAGACAAAGATAAAGTTGTTGAACTACTTCATGAGACCTTATGTAACACACATAGTAAAATAAATGAAAACACCTAAAATATGAGGAATCAAGACCAACCCACCTCGGCTTGGTACTCGTGTTGCTCACTAGAGGTCTTGGGAGTTTCTTCTTTTTCAGCAACATCAGTCTCGTAGAGAATATCTCACCAACTCGATTGCTGATCGCCTTTTGGTCATCACTCGTTGTAGATCGTCGTTATCGAGAGCTTCTTCGTGTTGATTGTCGCTCGTGTAGATTGTTCGACGCTCGCCGTAGATTATATAGATCGTTGTTGGTAGATGGGTAGGGTTTTAGGGAAAGGGAGAGAGAGAGAGAGTACGTATGTGTCTGTCGAAGAAGAATGGGTAGGTTTGAGTTTGAGATCAGAAAAAGGGCGTTGAGGGGCGAAGGCTGAGCAGTCAAGGCGTAAAAAATATAAAAATAAAGAAAAAAAAATTGATAGTGTAACGGGCGGGTCAGGTTAAGTGAGTGTAATGGCGAATCAATCGCAACCCAACCCGAACCCACGAAAACAAAATATCTGCACCTTTACTCACCAGCCATTTGTCACTCATCCACCCAAAAGTGGTCGGGTCGAGTCAGGTCTGGCGGGTCTAGCGGTCTGTTGCTCAACCTTAGTTTGTGGGTTTCATCTCGAACTCTCATTCGATGATCTGAATCGTTTAATTTGTAAAGTTTTATGGGTAAACCATTATTGTAAAACACCAAATTAATCGAACAACTATAACTATGTGATTAGATCAACTCTATGTTTTTTAAAAAAATAGGTGGCAAACTATCTTGTTTTTAAAAAAAAAAAAAAAAATCTAATCACTTTGAAAATAAATCATTTATTTTTTTTAAAAAAACAAATCTAATTTGATCACTTAGTTACGATTGTCCATTCAATCTGATTTTTTGCAGAGATGGTCTACTTGGAGGACTCAACAAGTTGAATAGTTCAAATCGTTTAGTATAGATCCTTGATAGGGTACATCGTGTATATATATATATATATGAGAGGGGAATTTATGAGCCGGATTAGGCCGTGGTAATGACCGGGAAAATTTGGGCCGTGACAGCATGGGCCTGTCCGGAAAGGTTTTGCTCGGTTAAAGCAAGGCATGGTAGGACCGAGCTACTTGGCTTCAGGGTACAGAAACCGATCGAGTGATGGTTCGGCCGAGATGTCCGCTGCCTCACTGGGTTCCACAGTTTGTGGGTTAGTCCGGCCGGAAGGCCGACGGCTAACCAACATGAGCTGTCCCGAGCTCGGCTATGCCGGAATGCAACCGAGCTCTCTCGTCATTGAGCTTGGCGAGTGGAGCGCTCTGACTAGCAACACAACACAGCCTTTTGCAGCCGAGATGCTGCAGCCCGACTGCCGAGCTCCTAGTAGTGTGGGCTGGCAATTTGGTTAGGTGATGTTCAGCTAGATTTACGCTGACAGATGGGATAGCAGCACCACGTGTCGAGAGACTAATGGGAGTAGATTGGGAGTGCAGAAGGTATATAAGCGAGTCTGCGCCCCCCATGTTGAGATAGATGAAACATTTGGTGAGATTTACACTAAACACTCAATCATCTCTCTCTCTATCCCTGTGTGTGCCTAACTTGATCGTCGGAGGGGTATTCCGGCCACACACCGCCGAGTAGCTCACCGTCGTTGTGCTCGCAGGTCGATCGGACAGGCAGGAGCTTGGAAGAAAGGAGTACGGGCTTGCCGGAATATTTTGCTCCTCGTACAATACCACAGCCCGGCGATGCGACGACGGAGTCAGGTATCACCGACCAACCTGCTCCGCTTAGTACCGCATCACCAAGGAAGGAAGAAATGGAGCCGCTCAGCACAGAGCCTGCAGCTGGCATAATACTACAACCCGGCGATTCACCTACGGACTTAGGCATTACGAATCAACTTGCTAAGTCCGGCGCCAAATCGCCGAGGGCGGCTGAAGTGGAACCGCTCAGCACAGAACTTGAAGCTGAACAGCCGAACAACCGTGATCCCATCAACCTTCAAGCCTCTCAGAACCCCTCAGACTGTTGGAAGCTTTTTGTTGGCGAAATATGGAAACTTTTTATTGATGGAGCCTCGAACCGTCACAGTGCCGGGCTAGGTATAGTTCTGATTTCGCCAAACGGGCTGACTATCGAACATTCTATCACCCTCGGATTTCCTGCCTCAAACAACGAGGCTGAGTATGAAGCGCTTTTGGCCGGGCTCAAGAGCGCGCCTCAGATGCACGCATCCGAGCTAATGGTTTACAGTGATTCCCAGCTTGTGGTTAACCAAGTTTCTGGGATTTACGAAACCAAGGATGACAGAATGATGAAATACCAGGCTCTGGTCAGAGACCACATCAAGCAATTCCAGGCAATAAGGATTCAACAGATTGGCCGAGAAGAAAACGACCGAGTAGATGAATTAGCCGGCCTTGCTTCCATAGTCGATAGTACATCTCCCAACCCTCTCCTGATTGAATTCCTTCTGCGGCCCAGCATTGAGGAAACTGGGTAGACAGCAGTACTTTGCGTCGAGCTAGGTCCTTCATGGATGGACCCTATTATCCTCTTTCTCAGAGACCGGACCCTTCTGGCCGTGAAGAAGGAAGCACATAAAGTCCGGGTGAAGTCAGAGCGGTTTTGGCTTTCTCCGTCAGACGTTTTATACAAAAAGTCTTTTACCGATCTTTATCTAAAATGTGTGCACCCGAGCAGCGTGGACGCCTTCCTATACGAAATTCACGAAGGCATCTGTGGCAGTCACATAGGGGGCAGATCTTTGGCCTATCGAGCTATTTCGCAAGGCTACTGGTGGCCGTGCATGCAAGCCGACGCGCAGAAGTATGTTCGCAAGAAGTGCCAGAAGTTTGCCCACCAAATTCACCAACCGGCCAGAGAACTTCTTCCCATCGCCAGCCCTTGACCCTTTGCGATGTGGGGGCTCGATATAGTGGGGCCACTCCCAACTGCACCAGGCAACCGAAAGTTCTTCATCGCGGCCACTGACTACTTCACCAAATGGGTTGAAGCAAAGCCTTTGGCAACAGTCAAGGAGAAAGACGTCAAACAGTTTGTCTGGCAGAATGTGGTAACACGGTTTGGCGTCCCAAAAATTCTGATCTCTGATAACGGCACCCAATTTGACGGTCGCCTATTCAGAGGATTTTGTGAAGACTTGAAGATTGAATTCTACAATTCTACCCTGCTTACCCCTAGTCTTATGGTCAAGCCGAAGCATTAAACAAGACAATCCTTGATGGGTTGAAGAAGAGGCTTAAGAAAGCCAAGGAAAAATGGGCTGAGGAACTCCCCAACGTCCTTTGGGAATACCGAACAACCCCGCGGCGATCTATCGGGGAAACACCTTTTGCTTTGGCATATGGCATGGAGGCGGTCATACCTTTGGAAGTTGAAATGCCCACCATCAGAAGTGAAATTTTGAGCCCGAGCTGAACGCTGAAGCCATCGCCCTAGAATTGGACCTTGTGGAAGAGCGCTGGGAAAAGGCTCTCATCCATGTGGCCGCCTACCATGAAGAGCTCTCAAGGAAATACAATAAAATGGTGCACCCCAGACCGTTCAAAGTCAGTGATTGGGTCTTGCGGAAGGTCATGGGCAATACCCTGGTGCCAGGTGAAGGCAAACTAGGGGCAAATTGAGAAGGACCCTACAAGATAACCGATCTGGCGGGCAAGGGGACATACCACTTGGAGGACTTGGATGGTAGAGGAATACCCCGGCCATGGAATGCGGCCAACCTCAAACTGTATTATTTCTAGCTTTTGCTTTCTTTTCGTGCAAAGGAATTTTTTGCCTTACACTTCAGAATGTAATATTCTTTTTGTCAATATATAGAAGTGTCTCATCTTTGCCTTAGCATTCTAATTGTTGCTTATCAATTGAGATTCTCAACCGAGATGTTTTATTCCGGTTGACTTTGAGATTAAAACCGAGATGATTTACTCCGGTTCATTGAGTTGATGTTTTGCTCAACTTTTAGATTCTCAACCGTGATGTCTTACTCCGATTGAATGAGTTGATGTTTTGCTCAACTCTAAGA